ATTCAATACAAACACTTAAACGTTTTTTAGACGTTTAGGTAGCTCCCAGTAGAAAAATATCAATTCAACAGCGGCCTTTTAAAGCATTCTCACTTCAATTAATTAATTAATTCCTAATTGAGTTTAAATTAAATATTGTCATGTTTTTAGTGCATTTTCCGTAGAATGAGTACCTGATAATGCTCACTCTGGTTATTGTTATCTGGTTGCTCACTACGTGCTCTTGCGCGCCGAAACCTAACAATTAAAAATGAAAACTGTTGCTAGCGCGAGAAAAGAAATATCGGTTTTATTGATACATGCATATATACGTACGTTTTATATAATATATATATATATATATATAATTTCAAGTAATAAGTTACAATTTGGTAAAAACAAATAAAAATTAAATAAATAGATTTAATTGAAAAAAAATATCTAGGTTGCTAAATTAATGCATAGCATCTTTGAATTTACTGACATTGTAAACATCAAGTTATCGTAAATTTGTCTTTCATGAAAAAAAAAGCAGTAAATAAAAAAAGTTACTAGTTACATTGTATGCTTAAACACGCAGCCAAAAATAGCAAGGGATTTATTTATTGAAAACCTTTTTTGCTACACAACCTTTTTTATTACCACACTTTTTTTTGCAATATAGTCAAGCGAAAAAAAATCTCATAAAGGTAAAAAGAAGAATAGAATATTTTTGTTCCTAAAAGCGTGACTTTTATAATCAATGAACAATTCATGTCATAAAAAAATTAGAACAACCGCAAAACAATTCTTTTCATGTGAAATTCAAATTACAATGTCATTATCATTGAAATTTAAAAATTCAAATAGCTATAAAGGAGAAAGTCCTATATTGGTAAAGAATTTAATATTTAAATAGTTGAATAATAATTGTTAACAATTCTATTTCCTCACACATTTGCAATAATTGCCGTAAACGTAGTTAAGGTAACAGAGAACGATATCAGAAATGCATTTGAAAAAGCAAGAGTTGTTTCGAATGGTTGAACAAGCAATAGAACAATGAGAATTTGCATTATTGAATGTCTTACAATACAAGTATAGAATTCAAACACGGCTGTCATGTTTTTCAAATATTGGAAAAACAATCAAGCTTATTGTGGATATTTTCATCTGAATTGGATTGAGTTGTTTTTTTGTTATTTCTAAAGTGCTGTTTGAAAAATACTCATAGTTTGTAAAAGATACATAGAATTTATATTGCTATTATATAGGCCATAATTTTTAAATGAAGCTTTATTTACTTAAATCGTGTGCTGTTCTTTATTTTTTCCCCAAAGCAATTTTACACAAACAATTTTGAAGTCTACCTTGGTATTTTTTATAGCGCGAAATTTATAAAACATAGATTACCACACATTTTTTTGCAATAGAATCAGGCGAAAAAACATGTAAATGAAAGAAGACTAATAGAATATTTTTGTTCTTAAAAGCGTGACTTTTAGAAACAATTTGGTATTTTTTATTTAAGTTTTTATTGCATATTTGTTTACTTATACGAATAAAAAGGTTTTTTTTTCCTCTGAAGTAGTAAAAAGTAACGGGATAGTAAGTACTTGGATTATTATGTAACTTTAAATGTGTTTAGGTCATGTGATTTCTCATGCTTATCAATTAAGTTTAAAACCTTCAACAGTTTGAGAGATCGGCAAAGAATTACAAATGAAAAAAAGTGTTTTTGAAAACACAAAGTCAGAAAAGGATGGCAATAAATTAAAGCATGTGTCGATTACTTAATTTATTATTTACAATAATTGTATAAAAACTCGTAAGTGTTGCTAAAATATTGATGAAGATACGGACATTTTTAAAAAAACTACTTTTTGCCATACTTCCTTTTTTGCCATAAAATTAAAAATATGCAATAAAATTTATTAAAATTTTTGGGGCAATTTGTAATTAATAACGAAATTGTCATTTTAAAATTTGAAAAAAAAAATCGTTAAAAATTGCACAAGATATGAACATTTAAAGTAGTTCTTTCATACTGCGCATGCGCGGAAAATTTTAAAATCATTTTTTTTTTTGTATAATTTTTTAGTGAATCGTATTTAGTAACAAATGAAAAAAAGTCCGATTTGAATATCTGGAATATTTTTAAAAAATTTCTAGCAATTTTCTAAATAGTACTTTTTTTTGAAGGAAGAATCTGAATGATAAAGGGTTTTCCACAAATATTATTTTGTACTTTTAAACAAGATTTAATAAATATAACTCCAGCATTGTGGTGGGAATCATACCTCTTCGAAGTATGTTTTCTTTTACATTCTTTACTTACTTCATTAGAACATTGTAAGGTATTATCATTTGTTATAGAAATTTTAAGTTGTTGTTACTCCACTTACCTGTCCATTGGGTATCCTTCTAAGATCCATTAGTTAGATAGTAAAAAAATAGGTATATTTTTCTATTGGGTTGGGAATATGTATTGTCCAATAGGAATAGTGCAAACAGCTAGTTTTTCAGTTACAGCTACCGCTACATTATTATTAAATAAGTTAGTAATAATTCTCTCTCTCTCCCTAAAAAAATTTAAAAAGTCGGAAAGCAAAATAAGAACAAAATATGATCCCGTCATCAGCTCACACGATTATATCAGAAAAAAAGAGTGCTTTCTAATATTGTATAAATATTTACAAAGCAAAATATATCAATACAATTGTGTGAGAAGCACCAAAAAGATTGAAACAAAAAAAGAATAAATTAAGCTAAGAATGCAAAAAAAAANAAAAAAAAAAAAAAAAAAAAAAAAAAAAAAAAAAAAAAAAAAAAAAAAAAAAAAAAAACGTGCGAAATAGATAACAAAATTCAAGAAAATGCAGAACAAAACCCAGAATGTAATACATAAAACGAGCAGCGAATTCACGAATCCCATCATCCTCTATTTATATTTTTATTCATTGTTCAAAAAAATGTATATTGAGAATGTTGCGTCGCACTATATAATACAGTA